TTTTTTTTTTAAAAAAAAAGGAATAAATATTTGGGAAGAGGGCGTTTAAGAGGAAAGAAAAACAAATCAAAGCTGCTGCCAGGCTGAAGCCAGCAGCTGGTTGCACTGCTGCCAGGCTCAAGCCAGCAGCTGGTTGCCAGCCCAGCAGGCTGAGAAGTCGGTGGTGGAAGCGTTTCGTGCCGTGTTTGGGTTGCTTAAAAAAGTACACCCTGCCTCCCTCATTATTGCACCTCTGTTTTCCTCCTGGCCTCGCAAGCAGGAGGAGGAACTTGGATGCCCAGTGCAAGCTGGCGGGGTGGTTGTATATTACAGCAGTGTCAAGCAATACAACGGGAGAATGTCCTGCCCCGTGGACACGCGTGTGTGCCCATGAGCACTGCAGCTTGGCAGCTGTGAGCTGGGTTGGAGCTGCCAGGCGTGTCCTGGGTGCAGTGTCTCTCCACACTGAGGAGGTGCCAGTGCATTGGCAACCGTGGCACGATTTATTTTTTTTTTTTTTTTTTTCTGATGTGAAGTTGATGGAGGAGAAAGGGGAGGGTGGAAGGTTGTAACGCTTGGCTGGAAAAATTTAGAGGAATACAAAGGAGGGAGCGATGAAAAGGGGTGGCAGGGGATGGTGGGGAGGGAAGCTGTGAACTGACTGCTGTGGAGGTGGGAAGAGGCTGGCGTTGGCTGAGTGGGTTCTGCTGGGAGCAGGCTGGGAGGGTGCAGGGTGCCGCAGGGAGGGTGAAGCCACGGGGCTTTATTTTCCTCCTTTCTTTCCTCCTGCCTCCACTGGGCGCTCAGAGGAGCAGGCAAGACAAAAAGCTGAACCGGTGCCAAGAAGGAGCCGCAGCGACTCGCAAATGGCACTCTGTGCTGCACTAATATTTCGAAGCTGAGCTGTGCTGGAGAGCAGGGGAACGTGCCGGGAATGAGAATGGCTGTGGCCGTGGGGCTGCTGGCCGGGCTCAGGGGTGTTCTTCCCCCTCCCTGCCTCCCCTTCACCTTTTAAATGTGACCCTTTTCTCCTCCGTGCACCCCCGGTGATATTTAGGGGTTCTGGGAAAGACCCTTGCTGGGGACTAGGGGTAGAGAGGGGGCAGAAGGGGGACAGCACCTTGCACCCCGGGGCTGGTGCAGTGTGGCAAGTGCCTGGCAGGGATGCTCTGCTTGTAGCCAGTCTCTAGACTATGTATGTCTGCTACGATGCTGCCTGAAAAGGACTACAAGCAGACAAGGGGCAAGTGTGCTCATGCCCTCCTGCCGTTTCTCTATCCATGAGGGATTTTTCCTTTTTCATTTTTTTTTTTCCTAAGAAGGAAGAGAAGGCTCGATTCCCAGGGAGTTTTCTGATTGTTTTCAGCCTGCCGCTCCTTCCCCTCCTCCTCACTGTCCTCCTCCTCCTCTCTCCATACCCATAAGGCTGCTCTCATGGCTCTGTATCCTGATGCAAGGTTACTTGTAGGACACGCAAATCTCTGCAAGGTGCAGCGTCGCCTACATTGGTGTTCCCCTCCGATTCTCATTTGCTGGGGGATGAGGCAACTTCCAGGCAGCTCCACAGCTCAGCTGAGCTCCCTGGTTAATGCAGTGTCCGTGCTCTGGTTGCAAAAGCTCCTTCCTGCAAAGCCTACCCGAATAAAATAAATAAATAAATAAAAACAACAAGAAAAATCATATAGAGCTGAAACTTTGACAGCAGTTCATAAGGTGGATTAATTTTCATGGAGCAGGCTGGAGTTTTGCTGTGATTTTTGCCTGAAAGGAGAGGTTTTACCCCATGTTCATACACTTTTCCCTCCATTCACAGGCTAGGAAAAGGTATAAAAAGTCCCTTTTTTTAAAAAATAAAATTATTACCATCACACACATGCTCATAGTAGTTCAATAGTTGAAGTGAATACAAAAATTTCCCCCTCTGCACACATGCCTCTTTCTGGATCATTCTGGCATTTGGATCTGTAGTTTTAAGTTGGTTTTACAGAAGCTCCAGAGTGGAGAAAGAGAAAATTCCTCTTTCTGGGTTTGAAAACAAGTCCAGATCCTTTTTTAACAGCACTTTCAGCACTCACACAGCCAGCAGGTCAGGTTCAAGGAGACCTTTCGAAAGCACGGGCAGAGGCTCATTAACTTGCTGCATCTCAGAAGCTTGTGGGTAGTTCAGTTGTTAGCTTGGCCCAGTTTGTAGTCCCAGGTGTGGGAAGATCCCTGTGACCTCTCTCTCACCTGAAAACCGTGCCCTAGTATATATCCAAACCACTTCAAACCTCTCCTTTGTTTTCAGACGCGTCGACTTGGTTTTGGAGCACCCAATTCTGCCCAAGCAATGCCTTTTGGAAATGCTGTGATAAATAGTGGGGAATTTAGGGATGCTCAAAGGTGTTACCCAGCCTGCTCTCCTCGCCCTCTTCTTTTCACAGCTCTTTGCAGATCAATGGTCCTTCCTCTGTGGAGGATCAAAAACTCGGTCCCAAATTAATGCTGCTAGGAGGTGGACTCATTTCTGAGTGATGCTAGCAAGTTTTGTATGGATGTCTGCAGCAACTGATCCTTTGCTCTTCCTCAGCTCTCAACTGTGCCTTGAAACATGAGTGCAGCTCAACTTGAGCTTGCACAGAGGAGTTGCTGCCATCTCTGTTTGCTCTTTTTTCCTTTTCTGTAATTGAAGGGTATGTAGTTCTTGAAAAACTCGAGGAAAACTTGAGGAGGGTGAAGAAACCATGGCAAATGTCAACAAGAGGGTTGGACAAGTAACTTGGAGTAATAGGTGTGCCATTTCACCTTCCACCCAGTCCTACCTGTTCTTTCTGAATGAAGTATGTATACTAAAATACGTGATTTTGTCTGCACACCTACGCTTGCTGTTTGCTTTTCAGTTGCCTCTTTGAACACAATGAGATGAGTTATGTATTTAAGTTGCCATCTTTGTCAAGGACACATACCATGTGGACCTTGCCTGAATGTCCCAGAAGCCCTTGATGATACTTTTGGCTGCAGCTGCACCTCTTGCTCTGGACACAGCCTCCTCTTTTTAACCACAGATCCCTGACCATGGGATTCCAGCAAATGCCAGGAGTGGGGGATTAAAGCCCACATCAAAGCGAGCAGAGGAGACCCTGGCAACACTCCGAACCCACCACACACCTGCACAGAGCATGGTTCACACTTTTAGATCTGGAGCCAGCTTGTGTTTACTACTGATTTAAACCTCTTACTAATTCAGTACCAAATGACAGTTTCTAACAGATTTAAAGAGAGGATCCAAAAGATACAGACAAACATTAATGTGGGCCAACAGCATCCAAGTGTGCTAAGTAGCAACGTGGTGTTTGTTATTCAGGAAGGTGAACTGAGGACAGCAAATGACGAGACCTTCCTAAACCTTGGTGTTTCTGAATGCAGACCTCTTTCGTTTCCTCGATATCTTGACAATGCTCTGGAGAAAGGGAGCTTATGCAATGGATCTTGGCCATCTTGAGATAAAAATGTTACTCTTGTACTTTCCAAGTGATCCAAGTAAGCCTTCTGGCCAGCTTGCTCATGCTTGCCAAAGAGCACTGCAAGGCATTGATGAGGCAGCTGAATGTCTTTGTCTTTACTTCTCCCTGTATCAAAGAGGTGTCTTTGGGTAGATCTCTCTGAAACATGATGTCTCATGAATCTCAGGTTGCTTACTTGAAATCCCTCATTCTTTTAACACTTTATAACGAGAAACATTGTCTGCTTGGAGTTATTATGAGATGCCTTGTGTCTGGAAGGGTTAATCCAGGGGACTCTTCCAAGCCTATCTTCCACCCCTTCTCCCCATACCTTCTCCACTGCCAGCCTTATTTTTTTTGGACCGGTAGCCTCACATTTCTCTAATTTAAATGTGCAAATGCTTTGCAGTCACGGTCCAGTAGCTGGGTTAATCTCAGACCCCTGGAGTGGCAGATGGCTGATTTGTTGCTGATTCCAGTTATGGAGAATCGTGCCACCTATTATCTTTACACAGGCTGCTGCTTAAAAGGATGCCTTGGGCAAAATCAGTAAAAAGCAAAGTAAACACTTTCTGATCTGCATCACCACAGGTGAAAATGTAAAAATACTTCACCTTTGTGTGAGGGGCTGGAGAGGTGGACAAGGGCTGGAGAGATGGACAAAGAAGGAAGAGGAAGTGGGAGGAGAAGAAGGGGAGAGAAAGGTCTCAGTTTTTTTTGTGTACCAGAAGTGCAGGAGCACAGGGCAGAGTGGGTTTGCTGCAGTCATGATGCTGAATCACAGGCTCTTACCCTGTTTTAAATGGTTTTGCAATGTGGTAATCCTTGGCTTCAGCTCCCTGCTTTAACTCCTAAACAAAGCAGGCGGGTTGGCATCCTGTGACACCTTCCTGCTCTTCCCAAGCCTGATGCAGGTTGTCACAGGAGTCCATGGCACCACTCCCTGCCACCACGGCTCATTGCACGCCCCGCCTGCACTGAGTTCTCAGCTGGCACCGGCTGGCCAGGTAGTGGTGGGGATGCCAAAAAGTGTGTGGAGATGGAGAAGGGCAGAATGAAACTTTGGATGCTTGTGACAGTTTTCTGCATGGTCGTTCCCACAATCAAGGTTTTCTCTTTTCTTTTTGCTCTGGGAAACGCCACAGAGTCAGATGAAGAATTTGGGAAGAGAGTGTGGGTTCCCTGTGCAGAGTCCAGTGACGAAATCTGTGAATAAGGTAAGAACAAGTGGTTATGGCTGGGGAGGGTTTTTTTTTCCCTTCCTAATCCATTACTTCAGTGTTAGCTACAAAATTCAGGATGTCTGTAGGACAGAAACATATTGCATGAGATTTGCTAAGCTAAGGAGTCTAAAAAGATCATAATAACTTGTTCTTAATGCATGCCATTATGATGGTTTGGGTTTTAGAACAGTTTGTATTGTAACCAAATGATCTATGTGTGAATAATTGTTACCAACCTCCTGACACCAGGACCTAATTAGGAAGTAAGAGCCTTAAATAGGCCATTTACGTAGTGAGCTTCCATATGCCTCCTTGGGCAATTTATTTCCTTCATTCCATTGAGATATAATGAGAATGAAACTCCTAGAACTGCCTTTGAGTCCAAGGCTCTTCTCTTCATCTCCTCTGCAGTTATAGCCTGCTATTGAGAAGATAATATCTATTTCCCTGTTCAGAAAGAACAAGCTGCTATACTGCTGCTCTTATTCAAGATTACCCAACTTTCTCTATTTCTGAGTTTCCAGTGGAAATAGAATGAGAAATGCCAACACAACCTTCAACCTAAGAAAACTGTAATGCTGCCAGAGGAAGTACAAAGAAGGTTAGGTCAGGATGACCTTGAAAGAGTACTACCTATCCTATCTACCTCAAAACCCTGCTGGAAAGCTAATGTTGTGGCATTTCAGTCAATGCAATTGAGGAACTCGGTGAATAGATACAATTTGAAGAGGTCTGTGCTGGTTCTGCTTTACTTCCCTCCCGATAGGATGTGAGGAAGGGGGAGAGATTGTTAGAAGGCTGCCTGAGTTTTGCCTTACATTTGAGTATTTAGCTCTGTCTGAACCAACATGCTCTATGGGACTCAGTTCGTGTTATGTTGTAGAGCGTGGTCATTCAGTATGATTTCAGGAGAAATCCTTTATTTCCAAACACATCTAACATGCATGACTCTTCCATGTGTCCTGTGTCCCATTTCCTTCTTTTATTCCCATCAACCTGAAATCAGCAAAACAAGTGTATGACTGAGTGCCAGTTTCTGTTGGGGTGAACTTCAGTAAGTGCTCAAGGTTTTGTTTGTTTTTCCCTCAAAATCAGGGCCTTGTTGAGCTTCCCAGGGAAAGACAATTCCACCCTCAACGATTTTATGATAATTCACTTGCGTGTTCCCTTCCAGGAATTGTCATTGCCTTCCAGAAGGGAGGTTAGTGCTGGTCCCCTTGCAGTGATAATTATAATCAGACCTGTCAGCCTTCACACAGTCTACGCTTATCACTTGCATTTAGGAGGATTTTTCCCGAAGCCTATTACCAGTGCTGCTTCTCAGGGAAAAATAGTCATGATTTTTTCTGCTAATCTTTGATGGCTCTCAGCTTTGAAAGCATGGAGAAGAGCAAAATGACTGCCAGTTGCAGTTAAAGAAACTGTCTGTTGGTCCTGGTGTATTGCTCTGCATCTGGAGAGCCAGGGAATGGGCAGGGAGCCTGGGAATTGCTGAGAGGTTTGATTTGGTTGTGACAATTCCTCAGGTGTGCAGGAGACACAAACCAGTGCTTTTTCCAATGGTAATACTCACAGAAATGAGCTCTGCAGACCTGCTAGAGAAGGGCTTCAGGTGTTCCGTGGCTGTTAGCAGTGGTACCCTCCCTCCCCGCTGTTCTGAGCAGTGATCTGTGGTTTTGCCATGTTGAACTGCTTGGTTGCAGGATGGCCAGAGAATTGGCTGTGGATGGTGTTGGAGGTGATGGCTGGCATCCAGGGGTGGGCACAGTGCAGGACTGATGGACCCACTGTCGCTGGCAACCTGCGTACAGCGGTGACCAGCTGGCCAATGTGGTAGTGTTGGGTAGGACGTGGTTTGGTGTTCTTTTCATCCCAGGGTGCTGAAAAATTGCCCAGTGTAGTGTTATTCACTGGGAGATGCAACACCCTATTTCCTAGATTTCCCCCCATTTTCACTCCATTATTCCTGTTGGTGTGCTAATAACCCCCCTTTCTTTTGCTAACTTAGAAACAAAAATTGTAGTCATTTTTACCGTTTCATTAGTCTAAATGAATGATGTGTCTTTTTGTCCCTCCTGTATTTTCACCATGCTCTTCATGAAGTGCTCAGAGATTTGGGCTCCCTTGTTTTTGGCAGAATTTTCAAGGAATCATCAGTTTATAGAGTTTGTAGTAGAAGTGGTAGGAGAGTTGAAACTCTTATGTCCCATGCAGTTACATATTTACAGTGTGCAGGGACATGATTTGCCTTTGTTTTATTTAAAATCACTGGGAACCAGAGGTGTATTTATCAGGTGTTACTCCCTGAAGGAAGATGAATGCCATATAGCAAAGACTTCATCTGTTATACAAACGGGTTTGAAGGCTTTGCTATTGTACTCCTCTGCCTGCTGCACGGAGTGAAAATGCCTTTGGCTGAATGGAGACAGAGTGATACTTAGTGGTAGCATCTTATGACCTTTTGATCAGCTAAGATCTCAAGCCATATTAGTGGACAGATTATGATGTGATGGAAAGAGGGCCAGGAATAGCTTTTTTATCATGAGATCCTTCTTGCAAATATCCTTCTTTGGTATATTCAGGTGTTAATCACTGGAGCCAGGACAATAGTTTGAGAACAGGGGAGTGAAACACTGGTACAGGCACTGAAAATACACCCGGGTTTGCCAACTACAGTTGGATATTGCATTTTACAGTTTCTCCCTAATATTCTCCTACCCTACTGTTTCTATTAAGGCTGTGTGTGACCCTGCAATATTTCCTAGCATTAATAACCCCATTTTGGGCATAAAGATCTTCCACAAAATGGACTCTGAGTCGTTGGACCATAGGGGAGCTGCAGTCCCCGAATTGAAGGTATGCACATGGCGAATAAGGATGTCTGGCTGTGAAGAGAAACATTCACATGGAAATGTCTCTGTCATTTGTGAGATAATGACAGTAATGCTTAAACCTATTTCAACCCTTTTCAGGAGTAAAAATGCAGCTTTTTTTTTTTTTTTTTTTTTTTTTTTTTTTTAAATAAATGCACAGCCTTAATAGTATTTCTCTTTTTACAGAGCTGAACAGAAAGGAGAACAACTTTTACACTGATCCTACTTACCTGCCTGTGCAGGTTACTCCTTAAATTTTGCTGTGTGCTTAAAGTAGATTCCTTTTTATCTTAATGGCCAATATGAATCTTCAGCCTCCTGGATAACTGGGAATAAAAGAATGCTGATTAATTGCTGACTCTGCACATTGATAATGATTGTGCACAAGTTTGATCTGGCTGTTGTGGCTGCTTTTGGAAGGAGAGAAGGATGGACATGTGTTTGTGAAGCCTGATGTGAATGCATTTCGGACTATCTGAGCATGAGGACGTGCCCAGGCAGCCCATGCTGATTATGGAGGATGTAGCATCGCCCTGTAGAGGGTTAGCACAGGGATATTTGAGTGTGTGCATGTTTTGCTTCCTTCTGGAGCCAAACTAGCTGCTCATTTTCCCAGTAAGAAGAAGGAGAAGGGCTGGCAGTGTGTGAGTCCCAAACTGCTGTCAGTGTAGTGACGACGCTGATGCACCATGTCTGGAGAACAATAGCTGCCACAGCCCAATGGAAACTCTTTGAAAATGAGAAGGTTATGGAGGTGGAGGAAATGCACAGCAGGACACTGTCTTCTCTTATCTCCCCCAGCCTCTTCAATTAGGTGCCTGCTGGGATTCCCACTCCTTCTGCCTTTTGCACTAGATCATAGGATCGTGAGGTGTTAGATTTTGCTGGCATGAAGTCATCCACGGTCCTCCTGGCATTATAGCTTCCTGAGTCAGGGAGCCGCTGTGAAGTGTTGAGGCTGTGAGCCCACATGGTGCTTTTAGCTGCAGCTGCCAGGGCCACAGAGGTGTCCAAACAGGAGCCGGGAGCAGGCACCAGCTGCCTGACCCTTTGGGAAAAGCAGGGACTGCAAAGGGTGGACAGCAGCCTTGGGAAAGTGCTATTGCCAAAACACAGGAGGCTTACTATAAGGTGCTTCCTCCCAAGCCCCACCTGCAAGCCATGAGTCAGGTGCTGCATGGGTGATGCTCACAAACAAGCACTGCAAGTGTTGTGAGTGAAACTGTTCAAAGGGATGGGTTCCTCTGAACAGCTCCCATCTGAGAGCAAGAGCTTCTGATGCCAGCTTTGAAACCTTTTCCCTGAGAAGTTTTTGTGGTGTGTGGTGAAGAAAGTGCAGGTACAAAACGTTTCCTTTGCCTCCCTCTGCCACCTTGTAGTGCTTGAGTCCCTGTGGGGTGTAGGAGGGTGCCTGGATTTGGGCGGCACCATGTCAAGATCTTCCCTCTTTGTGTGGGGTTGTTCTAATCCTGCTGTGCCTTCTGACAAATGATCCCTGCCCTCTCTAATCAATTCTTCCCAAAGTAAACAGCTTGCTTTCAGCTTCTTGTAGCTCAGAGGGATCCATGAAAATACACTTTCTTTGCCTTGGGCAGCTCAGCCCTGAAGTTCCTATGGGACATCTTATGGTCTTCCAATGTAGCATATTTGGAGGATATGGCAGCTACTTGAGGTGGGATGATGTTTTTGCAAACAGTGAAGATGTGGTGTCAGGCAGATGACAGTCGTGTTGGGTGGGAAAAAGAGGACAGTGGTTTGCTTATGAAGATAAACTGCCCATGTATAAGATCTTTGCAGTTTTAAGCAAATAACATCTGCTTCCTTGAAATTACTCTTTAGACTGCAAACAGAAGTAATCTCCAGTTTCTCACTGAGTAAGAGTAATTTCATGAACCAGCAGAAGATTGTCATTGTATCCAAATTTAGAGCCATACACTTCTCTTGGCTGGAAAGAGATGATCTTGGTCAGGAAAAGAGGGAGAAGGACACGTTATACCAATGTCTTAAGCAAGTTAAGCAGTGTCTAGGAATATTCACAGGAGTGTGACTGGGTATACTTAAACTACTAGACCAGTCCTTGGCACACTTTTGTTCCACAACAAATAGCAAGCTCCTAAATCA